ACGTGCTGGGCGCCGCCGGCCAGCCTGGGCCCCGGGTGGCCGCCCGACGAGTCGGTACTGGACTGGCGCGAGTGCGAGCCCGAATCCGGCTCCTTGAAGAAGGACTCCGGCAGGATCTTCTTCCGCCACGAGCTGGGCTTGGGGTTCATGACAGAGTTGAAGAGGGCTTCGAGATCCGTGTCGAGGTCCTGCGTGACGTGGATCACTTGCTGCCCGGGCGGCGGGAGCGGAGGGGGCGCTGAGGACGGATTCATCTTCTGCACGGAGAAAGGAGATCAGATCAGCTTTTTACTTCAGATTGGAGGAGGAGGCTGGGGGGTGGGAGAAAGGAGAGAAAAGAAATAGAGCAGACGGTTAGGTGACCGCCTCGGGATCGCAGACGCTCCGCAGTCCGCCCAGCCGGAGGGGGAGGGGTCTCTCCGACCTAGGGAATTATGCAACTTTCTTGAAGCTAAGAAGTTACCGGGAGGAGGAGCGGCAGGGGGTGGGGAGGCTGGAGTAGCTGCCCTTGGGACGTTGCCGAAGCGTTGGCTGCACTCCAGGGCAGGAGGCCCCCCCACCCGAAGACGTGGATCGCAGACGCTCCGCAGTCCGCCCAGCCGGAGGGGGAGGGGTCTCTCCGACCTAGGGAATTATGCAACTTTCTTGAAGCTAAGAAGTTACCGGGAGGAGGAGCGGCAGGGGGTGGGGAGGCTGGAGTAGCTGCCCTTGGGACGTTGCCGAAGCGTTGGCTGCACTCCAGGGCAGGAGGCCCCCCCACCCGAAGACGTCTGGGGGCAGCTGGAGACTAGGATCCGGCTGGCAGATCCCGCCCCGATTCGGTGCCTGGCAGCCGAGGGGCTTGGACTCTCACATCCCCGAGCTGGCCTCGGGCGCTCGCGCTCGGCGAGGAGGAGGCGGAGGACTGGCAGACAGCGCTGCCGCCGCAGCTCCCGGACTGTCCCATAAACAAAGTTGGGAGAAAACTCCCACCCCCAGGAAAGAGGCGGGCCGAAAACTGAGCTGTTGAATTATGCATGACCTCCAAATCCTGAGCCTGCCTGCCCCCGCTCGCCCCTCCCCCGCTCCAGAAAGCTCTGGGCGGGCTGGGTACTTTACCAGGCGCGGGGAGACGGGTGCCCCCCACTATTCCTCGCGGCAGCGCGGACCTCTCCCGCGGAGCCCTGGGTCTGCATTCCTTTGAGTTTACCACCACTTGGGGCGGGATCAAAGGGAAAGTGGCCGGAGCCTGTTCAAGCAAGAGGTTGTGGACCGAAACCAAGCCTGAGAGTGGCGCAGGGCACCCGGGCGAGGGGCGGAGGCCGACGAAGGGTCGGTCTAGGGCGCTGCGCCCTCCCTCGGCCTGGGCGCGGAGCCTCCGGCAGCTGGGTTCGCCGCTCTGACCCGTGCTTTTACCAGCGGTCGGGCCCGGGTGCAGCCCAGCGCAGGAAGACACCGCGAAGGCCAGCCTCTCCACGGGAGGCTGCTTAGCGCTTGTGACCATATTTGGTCTGGTGAGGAGGCATCTTGGCTGCTTGGCTTTGGATTGTCTGCAAGAGCGCAGAAAGTGCCTCTGTTGCTGGAGACGCGGCTTCGCCAACCTGGTGGGCTGTAAACAAACAACCTTCGCACCATTCATCAATCCGTAGTTTCTTCTACATGACTTAGGCCACTAGCGGTTGAGAAGAAACCGGGTCAGAGCTGGGTGGTGGAAGGAAAGAGCAATTGCGCCCCCCTCCCCCGCCACATCCGCGCGGGTAGTGGGAGGACTGGAATGTCCCTGACCTCCAGGGAGCCTGGAGCTGGGCTGGAACCCGAGCAGGTGGCTGGGAGTAGAGAGGGTGCGCCAGTGACCCGGAAAAAGCCACCCACCCTCCCACCGACTGGATCTGGGCAAGGGGTGGAGACCCCCGCCTAAGGGAGGAGGAGGCCAGGCCTGGGGGGACAGCTGCGGATAAGTGGGAGGCAGCCTTGCCTTCCGGAGCCGCTGGATTCCTCTCCTTCATCCCCTGTCTAGCTGGGAGTGGGGTGGGGTTAGAGAGGGTGGCTGGAGGTGAGACACTCCGGGAAGCCCCTGCGCTACCCATGGATTCAAACAGCAGTTTATTAAATAAGGCAAATGAAGCGATATATGGAAAGCACATGGCCAGATTTATAACTGTTTAATAGAGTCGTATTAACTACAGGCATGATGCTTCAACATTCTATGATGAAAAAGATGAAAAAAAGTCAACATTAAAAACTAGAGTTTGAGGAGGAAAGTTGAAAGGAAAGACAAGGCCATTGCACCGTTTTGTCGTGGAGAAGGCAGGAGAATTTTGAGACCACTCTTGATTGGCTGCGCCCAAGTCCAACGTGGGCTACCTCCCAGATTAGCTCATTCCAGACTCTCACAGCCTGGAGGAAATCAGGGTAAACCAAGACCGCTCCGAATCCCCTCACAGGAGAAGTTTCAACAATCACCTTCAGAGAGTTTGGTCCCTTCAGGAGCCTCCGAAATCCTGTTTTCCAGGCAGTTCTCTCCCCATGGAGCTGGCAAAGGGAAGGGGGAGCCACTACAGGTCACCCCGTGGGGAGGAGAGGCTTTCCACGCCTTCCTCAAAAGCCACAGCAGGGGCGACAGTGGGGTAACTGGCTGTGGAACTTGGGAGTGAATGGGACCAAAAGGTTACTGATTCAGAAGCTGCAGTGCTGATGCAACGATTAAAGGATGGAAACATGAGGTTAGTTCTGCCCCAGAAAGGTCTTTACCTCAGAAGGAGGATAAGTCAGGGTGGGAACTGAAGGAGCAAGGGCACAGAATCATTCCTTGCTACTCTCCAACAAATCGATAACAGAGGGCAGAAGTCGACGTCTCAAATGGAAATTACCCCGATCACACGATAACTCAAAAACTCCCAAGTTCCCAAGCAGTCTGTAAAATATAATGACATGTCAAACCTTAGTCCGCGCTACTGGGAGACCGAGGCGGGAGGGTCCTTTGAGGCCAGGGGGTCCAGGCCAGCCTGAACAACCCAGGGAGAAACTGTCTCAAGATAAATTCATGCACTCACATCGTGTATATAAAAGAGTAGATGATTTTACAACATTTACTGTCCTCCCAGCCCTTCCAAAAATAAGAGTTTCAGGTTAAATCACATTACATTTGTTTCGTTTTGTTTTGGTTTTTGTGTGTCTCAAGTGCTGCCGAGAAGGGGCAGCATCGTGTTGTTAGTTAGGTAAGTGTATAATTTCTAGAGCAAAGTACTGAGTCACCTCAGGCAAGCTCAACTCTATTCCTGGTTTCCTCCTTTTAAACTAGGGACAGTAACAGTAACTACCTCATAAGATTTTAAGCTGAGACACTACAAATTTTATCTGTTGACCCGTGACTTAGAAGATGAGCTTTGGAGCGCCTGGTTCCATTATAGTTCTACCCTCTATAATGTGCAAGGAACTTGGCCTCCCGAAAGTACAGCTTATTCATTTGCACACCGGAGATAACACTGCTGCATTCAGTTACATTGCTGGCCTTCCATGGGCCAGCCTCCTTATATTCACGTCCTTATTTAGTCCTTTCCCTTGAAATCTGTACTGGGGCAGTGACAACCTCAACCTGGAGAATACAGCCGCGAAGCTGTGCACAACTCTCCCCCACACCACTCTGCCGTCCCTTGAGGTGAAGAAGTTCCCACTTTTGCACTTTGGGAAAACCTGAGCCACTAGGTAAGAAGCCAGCTACCTTGCTGGAGAAACCACATGGAAGAAGAAAGGGCATAAGATAGTGGAGTGAGGTAAAAGTCCAGCTACCCAGCACCTGGGCCGAGCCTGCCAGCTCAGTAGGTGCCTGCGAACTCATCAGGGACCGCTGGTAAGACTAGCAGAACCAGAGCGAGCGCAGCCCAGGATGCACAATTATTTTGTGTTGCTGTTGTTCGTTTTTGCTGTACTGAGGAATAAACCCTGGGCCTCACACACCTAGGCAGGCGCTTTACCACTGAGCTGTTACACACACACACACACACGCACCCCTTTTCCCCCCTGAAGCTTTTGAAACAGGGTCTCACTAAGTCGCACAGGCTGACCTCGAACTCGCCACCCTCCTGCCTCAGCTTTCAGAGTACCTGTCTCTACGAGCGTGGGCCGCCATATCTGGTTTTAGAATTGTGAGGAAATAAGAAGGGTACTGTTTTATGCCACAAAAGTTGGGATGTTTAAATATACCGAATGTACCCTCTAGGTATTACATAACAAAATGTGCGCGTGCGTGCATGTGTGTGTGTGTGTGTGTGTGTGTGTGTGCTGGGGATTAAATACAGGGCTAGGCCCATGCCGTACCACTGATCTATGCACCAGCCAAAAAATTCAAAGAAAGATAACACAAAATTGGAATAATGGTCATTATTTAAGTCTCAGAGACCCAAAGAATAAATATTATATAGCCCCATTTTGCAGATAAGGATACTAGCCAATGAGTTTTAAAGTACTCTGTCCAAGTACACACAGCGAAATCATGAAGAAACCCTGGTGTTCAGCCAGGGCTCATAAACCCTAGAGCAGGGTGCTTCCTCCCTCTCATCCCGTAGAGCTGCTACCTGATGCTGCCATATTAAATCGTGCCTGCTTATCTCACAGTGAAACTCCGCGGTTTGTATAGGATAATCAGATACTGCTGATAATGTGAATCTGTCTCCATTTGGAAACCCTTTCCACCAGAAGTCCATCCCAGACCCTCCCCTCCGCCTACTTCCTGTGGAGGCTCTTCCTGAGTCATTGATCTTGCCGCCACCCCCTCCAATCCGTGGTGAGTACAGTGGATTCTTCTCCTTTCACACTCCCGCCATAGGACTTTATCGCAAAGTTCTTCCAGTGGCCTCCCAACTGGTTTCCCTTCCTCCTCCAATCTCTTGTCTCTGGTCTCGTATTTACATATCATTCAATGACAAAAAAAAAAAATGTGAGGTGTGGTGCCACACCCCTGTAATCCCTGAACTCCAGAGGCTGAGGCAGAAGGATTATTGCAAATTCAAGGCCAGCCTGGGCTACTTAGTGAGTTCAAGGCCAGACTGGACTACTAGCAAGACCCAGTCTCAAAAAAACAAAACCAAAAAAAGATTGAAGCTAGGACCTTCCTTCCCACGGAGCTACATCCCCTGCTTATCTGGACACTTGTTTGCTTGCTTTTTCTTCTTTCCTCTCTTCCTTCCTTCCTCCTGCGACATTTTGCTGAGTTTTCCCAGACTGGCCTCAAATTTGTAATTCTCCTGCCATGCAGCACCACCTCTGGAATGACCTTGCT